CTGAGTTCGATTCCAACTTCAGCTCAAGCCTAAGCCTAAGCCTACGTATGAATGCAGGAAAAAGACCGTGCAGTCGACTGTTTATATGGTACAGTGGAGAAGCGGATTGATTCATGTTCCCGATGTCAGAGGTTCGGTTCTTCGGCAAGGAGCTTCATCGTGGTGCAGTTTTCGACCAAGTGTGCTGGTCAGATCTTTTGGAGGCAAACTTATGAGTTCGTTCATCGGCTAAGGCTTCATAAGCCTAAGCCTGAGCCTAAACCTAAGTTCGACGCCAACCTCAGCTCAAGCCTAAGCCTAAGCCTAATTAAGATGCCAACTTCAGCTCAAGCCTAACCCTAAGCCTAAGCCTAAGCCTTAGTTCGATGCTGACCTCCGCTCAAGCCTCAGCCTAAGCTCGGTGCCAACTTCAGCCCAAGCTTAAGCCTAAGTCTAAGCCTAAGCTCGGTGCCAACTTCAACTCAAGCCTATGCCCTGGCCCGGACCTAAACCTATGCTAAGCCTAAGCCTAAGTTCGATGGTGACCTAAGCTCAAGCCTAAGCCTAAGCCTACGTATGAGTGCAGCAAAAAGACCATGCAAACGAATGTTAATATGGTGCAGTGGACAAGCGAATCAAATCATGATCACGAGGTCAGAGATTCGGTTTTTCGCTAAGGAGCTTCATCGTCGTGCAGTTGTCGGCAAGGTGTGCTGGTCAATTCTTTTTGAGGCAAACTTTATGAGTTCGTTCATAAGCCTTGGTCAAAGCTCAAGGCTAACCTCAGATAAGCCTAGGCCTAAGCTCAAGCCTATGTTCCACGCTAACCTAGCTCAAGCCTAAGCCTAAGTTCGATGCCAAGTGACTATATTTTTGCAACATAAAGTTTACGTGAAGGTGAGAAGGGACTTCAGGGCACAGCAATGATAGTTAAGTGTTGCTGGCCACCGGTTGACAACGCTGCACATCTTCCGTTGACGGCACGGAACAGGCCGAGTTAATTCTAGCGGTCTTTGCTTTGGAGCACATTGTTTGCCAAGCATAACTTGCTCTGTTTGGTGTAATGCCCCAACGTGGAGGACGTCGGCTGCGGAATGGACGTTCAAGGCTTGCCCTGCGTTGTCGACAGGTGGCCGGCATCGCTCGGAGCTTAGCCCATCGCTCATCTAAAAGCGCCCGATGGAATACCCCAGGAATGTCTGCCTAAGTCTGTGCTCGTACCCAATCCTCTGCACCGGAGACACAATCTCGTAACCATTTAATTTCTTATATGAGATCACAGAAACACTTAGACAATATGCGTCCAACTAGTACATAGAAATTCTAATACCGAAAGCTATTAAACTTTTCATGAATGGAATGAATTCCAGGAGCTAGTATGAGCATAGCATGACCAAACAGTAATGGAATGACGACCTAATAATGCAGAAGCAATAAAAAAGAA